TATCCACTGCATTAAGATAAATGAAATGAATAAAAATGGACGATTAAAAATAATCATCGGCGACTCTTAAAGAAATCGCGATCCACCATCCGGATTTAACGGGATTTAAATTCGAGGATTGAAAGGTCGCAAGTGCAGGTGCACGGAATAGTACGACCGGCGCAGTTGAAGCTGCAGCTGGAGTTGCAGGCAGTCAGGTCATTGCTACTCTCTCCTCTGGATCCAGCGCCGGCGCTTATGTTGCTTTGCTGAACCTCGTATGTATATACGTATGATAGAGATAGTAGGCAAAGTATACACACGGATATATAGTATTTGTCAGAGACAGAGGGAAATCCTAACCTTGTTAATGGCCCGTTGTTCCTTCTCGAAACCGCTGTCCGAATGACGGTTTGTTTGATAACGATTACCTTTGGAAATTGAACGCGTCAAACTTACGATCATTTCCAAGGTTTCCAAGGTTTGTGAACGAAAGTATCAAAAATGTATCCGTGCTTGTTCGGTTAATACAATCACTTGTAGACCATTGTTGATGTAACGTGAATGTTAAAGAGAGAAAGATTGTTAATAATCGTTTGATTTCGTAGAAAGAAATTTCGTTAAAAAAAAAAGAAAAAAAGAATATGACACGAAATGCGCGTCGTATCACTTCAATCTAATCGTTTATTATTTGCTATGTATATATGTACACATATGTATATACACGCGCGTATGAACACGTTGACGCGCACGAAGTGGTTTAATGATTAAACGTCAAGTATAGTCAACCGTCGCTGTGAAACTGGTTGCTTATGGCAGCTAGTTTGCTTATGACTTGTTTGCAACAGTGAATTAACTCTTACGAATAACTATAAATTTTGGTAAAAAAGAAGAAAAAAGATTATAGCCAGACACGTGAAAAATATCAATCTAATTCCTATTCTTTTAAAGTAATCCTCCATCCACGGAGTATGGTTTTATTTCAAATAACGGGACGATTGGGAATGTATCTATTGAAATCAAGAAAGGCGACGTTGCCGAGTTAAAAATGAGAAAGCGGTAGGTGGGAAGAAAAAACTTGGGCGGGAAATGAAAAAACGTTTTGCGAGGAGTAGGGAGTAGGAGGGGAAAAAGAGTAAGAGAGAGAGAGAGATGCAGAAGAAAGAGAATAATTTAGTCGAACGTTCCTTGGGGGAAACTTGAAGCTGCAAAAAATGTTAGGAAATGTGGAGAGGATATACGATACACAATATTAAGATTAAGTTTCTTTCCACCTTTTTTTACCAAACGAACTTTTCTTCGACAACTTAGAATATTTTCTTTCCCTTCGTTATCCGTTCGAAATGTTCGTGCACTCTTTAAAATTGTCAAATAATAAACGAATAGAATATTCGACACGAATTCAATGGCAAGAATAACGACGATTTTCGGTCGAGATCGTTTTGTACGATAATATAAAAAGCTGTTTATGGTTGGTTACATTTTTGGAGAATGATTATTACCGATGAATAATATACGCAGTTGCAAGCTGTCCGATGCAGTATACGGCCACTCCTATTCCTCGTTCGTTTCGTATGTATATATCTCTCCGCATATCCACATGGATAGACGCGTGTATAGATGTATGGGTCGCGTGTCCTGTGCAAGTTATGCATACATGTTATTCAACGACACGGCGTTGGTGTCTCGGTTCTCGTCTAGAATTCGATGTAGGTGGACACTTGGGGTAATTGGTAACAAACTATGCGGATGAATGTGACTCTACCAGCATATTCCTTATTATCCCGATGAGCTAGGTGTTTCCTTCGAGTATCTCGTTTCCGATACGCGTTCTATATATCCTCCTTTGTCCGGAATTTCCCCTCATTTGTGCGCATCGATGTTTCTCGTCAAGTATGCTCATTGAACAATTAAACGGAATTCTTCGAAGTTGTTGCCTCGTATCATTGAGTAACGAAATTTCCTGAAATAAAGTTGTTTATTTTTTTTTTTTTTAAGAAATTTATTTATAACAATTGTCGATTAAAAATAACACAAAATTTTAACAAAAATTTTCAAAAAACAAAAATGCTCTCTTTGAATTCTTTGGAAGGCAAGGATGATATGACATGACATCGTAGATTATAAATCATCGTAAAGTCCTAAAAGAAAAAAATAAAAGCTATTATTATTTTTATAATTATTATAATATATATCTATTATGATAATTTTTGTAAAATATAAATACAAAATAATGCAATACGTGATGTTTCCCGCTGAAACTTTAATCTTTTATACAGTGATGCATCGGGTGTCGATTGCAGTCGCTATACATTATGAGAAAACAATGGCTTCGTTGCTCTGTCGTTTCAACTTTCATACTGAATGTATCGATTGTAAATGCGTCATAAAAGCTTCGCGACCTGCAATTAGCGTAATCACGTTTACTATCATGGATCGAAAATTTTTTATCTTTTCAACGTATTGGTAATATCATAATTGTGCACATATGTCACATGTGCAATGAAAATAAGATCTATCAGATCTGATAAATTTTATTAAAATTTATTAAAATTAGAAACTCAAGTTATGCACAGTTTGAAATATCAAGAAATTTTATGCATGTTTTAACTATAACATAACCAAAAATTTGCATTTCTCGAGTTACTCAAAATATTTCTTTTCCAAATCGTAAACATTCAATCTTACAGGAATTGAAACCATTTTCCTTAAAATTATAATTCGTTAGTTTTGTTATTATTGAAGAAAATGTGTGTAATAAATGCGCAAAATTTTTCGTTGCAATAACAAGTCGACGAGACTGGTTGTCCCCGATAAATCTTTAAGCGGTTAAATCGAGTTTTCACGGTGGTGAAGTGTAACTAACGTGTCAACCCGAGTCTCTCGATCGATCGTTTTAATGAAGGCGAATTAATTAACAAAATTGACGTCAAGACGTCAAAGTGGGATCGTCGCTGTTGGGGCGAGTCACCGCGAGTCGATACATTGTTCTTCGATATCTCTAAATAAAAATCCGTAATAATTTCGGCCAATCGGAAGACGGAACGAGTTAGGTTAGGTTAGGTTATATTATATTAGATTACGTGAAAAGTTAATGTATCAATTTCAAATCAAGTTTTCGTATTATTCAAATATACAGGACAAACTCTTCTCTTCTCGTATCCAATTTCATATTTCGATCTCTTAAAGTTATTATTCATAATTGTTGTATGTTCTTAGTGATATTCAGTGACAATTCAAATAATCAGACATCGGTAAAATTTCGTTTCTATAAACAGATTCTATTGTAATATTGTAATAATTAAAAAAAAAAATGGTATCACTTTCTGTTGTATAAAGTTAATAATCGAAACCGTATGTTGCGTCGAAAAAATAAAAGAATAAAATGTGCGTTCCTGAGCGTCTCTCGGCCCTTGGCTTGGGGCAAATTCGAATCGAAAAGAGTCGAGGGAAAGAGGAAAGTAGTAGAGAAAAAGAGGAATCGGAGGGGTTGCCCTGAGGGTTGGGATGGACGAAGGATGGTCGCGGAGAGGGGATCGCGGCAGGAGAAAGGGGCGGGAGGATGCAAGGTGCAATCAATAGCGAGATTGCCCTCGCTCGGTAGCTACTCAACGCCAATAGAGGGACGTTATAGACACGGGCGTAGAGCTGTTACGATTGCAGATTCACTGCTCTGTATTTGGGTTCTACGTAATTTAAACGTGCCATCGCGTGTCTAAGATATCCCTGTTAAAACTTTTCGTTTAGAGAATCATTATCGCTATATGGTTATGATTGTGATCATTCCAAATTAGATATTTGGCTACGATCGATCGTTACTTTAATCGGTATCTCAGTCATTTCTCTTCATCTTTACAATCTTTTAAAAAAAAAATATTTTATCATTATCATTGCAAAATACTATTGCATCTCTTATCCTTTGTTCATTTCCTCTAATCGTATAGAGTTCATATAAAAATAACATCAAAATAGTTTTCATTCGAGAAAAAATTCGCGTGCGAGATCTAGCCGAGCTGCCATTTCGTAACTGTTTCAAGCACCTATTATTCTACTCTCTACTTTAGCGTTACGAGTGCTCGAGAATTGTGCTGTACAGTTTCTTTCCGTGTCAAGATTTCGTGGAAACTTAAGCGAAACATCCTTTCAATCGCACAAAATCTTTTAAATTTCTTATCCTTTCCATTCGATCTTTTTATCTTATTTTCTATCCCGATTTCCATTTCTCTATCTTCTTGCTTTTCTTCCGAAGCATAGAAAAATCTCGCAACGTTTGTAGGAGAAATTTCAAGCAAACTTAAAAGAGAATAATGTTTACACCAAAAGAAACAATAAAAAATCAATCTCTAAGAAAGGGAAAAACAGATTTTTACACAATAGTCTATCTTTCTTATTATCCGATGATATTACGACAAGTGCAAGAAGGTAAAAATCGTGCATTGGGAAAATCCTCGAAGAAAACAACCATCCTGACCTACATAGCATACCCTCAGATAAAATTGGAAGGTAGTATCATAGTATTCAATTTACTTTTACGAATCTTTTTTTCTCACATACTTACCGCAATTTTTCCACATTATGTTCCTTCACGCGATATTTCAAAGAGTATTCGCTTCTACTTTCACACTTTCAGATACAAGTATCCTTTTTCCATACCATGTCTAAATAAGAGGATTAAAGCCTTGATACCTCTATTACGAAAAAATCAACTTTCCTCCATACTTTTTTCTTCTTCATTTTTCTTTTTCACTATTCAGTTTCTCGTTGTCAATATTCCAGCTAAATGTTCTTTCGTTTCGGCAAAAAAAAAAAAAATATATCGAAAATTAAATCGAAAATTGTCGAAAGTGCACGCTATCTGATCTATCTTCGATATTATGAACTACTGCATGAACTGTTATTCCTATTTATAGAATTTCCTTTCATTTTCTCTTCCTCTATATTATATTATACATGTTCGACTCTCTCGCGAATTTCCTTCTCCTGTTTGGATATTGACCATTGTTTTGTAAATCGAATGATAAAATTCAGTTGTAGTATAGGTAAATAGTTTGCGAATATATTTTCGACGAAATACTCTTGTAATATCGATCGTAATGGCGGTGCCACGTGTCTAGAAGTTACCAAATCGATATTCCAGGTCCTGTTGTAAAATATCGACTGATACGAACTATACACAGTACGTTTAGATGCATTCTGTCCTTATTTTATTTCGACGAGTGTTCTTCGAGGACATTTAAGGTCATAAAAAAAACTTATCGCTAAAACTTTCTATTCTCTTCAAGAAAATTTCACTTTCCTTCGATACCTTGAACATTCCAATCATTTGTACTATTCATTTTTTTCAAAGTTGTATTTTTTTCGTTTCGTTCTAGTATTAATCATCCGATTTCGATAATCATTTTATATAGGTATCTTAGTAATTGACTCGAATTTACGTTAAGCCTTAAAGATGTAAGTGATAATGACCGATCAACATGTATACACACACGTGCCTGAGCATAACTATACTACTTCACTTAATCTAAATAGATGCTTAGATACCTGACTGGGAAAACACTACATTATAGTATATGATGAGGTGATGAAATATGTAGTACTCTTCATCTTTATTTCAATATTCATAGTTGCTTCTAACACGTTTAAGTAAATTGTTTGAATAATTTATGTCCATCTTCAAAATAAAGTTTTTTTCCTCTTTTTTTTTAATTTTTAATCATTTTCAAGAATATCTCAACAAGATATTTAATTGAAAAATTTCTTAGTTATTCGAATTCTCCATGTTCTAAAAAAAACATAGTGATTTTTGAATCTGAATAGATATAATATTTATAGTCTTCTAACCTGCAAAATTGAAATTTTTTATTAGAAAAAATCGATAAATTGTTATAAATGAGAATATTCATTTGATAAATTTACACGATTGAATTCCATCTGTTTTCCTTTCAAGAAATGATATTTTTTCCTCTTCTTTCTTTCAGTTATACCCATAAAATTCTCTTTCTCTTCTTTTTGAATGAGAAAGTTTTTTAAAACTAAAGATAGAAAAGTTCGAAGGAAGAAAGCTTCTTTTTTGGTTGGATAAAATTTTTGAAAAGGATGTACAGAAACAAAAGTGGAAAGAGAACGAAAGAGTTACATATATGGAAGTTGAAGGACCAAAAGAAGAACGAAAGTATAGAGAATCGGATAACAGAGAAGTAAAAAGTAGGGGGAAAACGATAAGAGAAGAAAACTGGAGGAGAGTTCTAGTTCCATGTGGATGGGATACGGATCAATATCGCAGAGGTTGAAGCATCTTTTGGTTAAGATTCCTTCAGTTTAGGACGAAGGAACTGATTCGACAAAGAAGAAGTATGAAATAAAATTCTTTTTATTCTCGTGTCCTCATTATCTGCAGTCTATTTCTTCTCTATCTCTGTTCATTCTATATATAATGAATGATCTATATTCAGAGGGAGTATACGTTATACATATCTGTACCTAAATTTATTTAAGTTTTATGTAGATACACGTGTTAAACAATAAACGAATAAAATATTTTTTGAAATTTCAATAGACATAGAATGGGGGATAGAATCCGTAAACAATCGGTTCTCGTCTCCGTGTGACCCAGCGGTAAAAGACTTTTCTCGATCGATACGGTGAAGCAACGTAGAAAAGAGGAAAAGTTTTAATACGTTATACGAATTATCCTCTTTTACCTTTATGTATCCAAATATACTTTGCCCTTATTTCCGTTTATTTATCGATCAAATTTCTATTCATAGTTTTCATCGTTAAAAAAGATTACTTCTATTAAAATTTTTCAGGAATTAGAAAACCGTTTTACATGATTTATTGCAATATTGGATTGGAGTTTGGTGTCAAAAAGAAATGATAAATAAATGGTAGATTATACACGGTGTTGAAGTTTGATCATTCAAGATATTGTATCGTTTTGTAACGATGTCTCCAAATTTACCACATACCCATTTACCAGATACACGGTTATCTTTGCACCGTGATAAGCATTTATCATCGCCATGAAAACAAAGAAGCTTTTCACATAGTCAAAGATGTGACAAGATGAAATGGGTTGTGTTACGGAAATTAGGCTTTTCTATCGTAGTACGAATGTTTTAGTATCAAGAAAACAATGTCGATGAAAGAAGCATCCTCTTGCATCGTGTTAATTAGAAGAAAAAGGAAAAATGATCATTGTTTGATTCAAATATCTTTTACTAATAAAGCTTTGTTTAATCGAAGATAACGTTTTTTCCCGATTATGTTGAATGGCGATGATTAAAGTAGGACAAGGTCAGAATTGCACATTAAGAGTGTGAAAACAATATTTGATCATGTGAAACACGGTGAAGCGATAAAGGCGTGGCAAATTTTTTTCTTTGCCTCGCCTTACCGAAAGAAAAAGCGTAATTTCTTCGAGACAACGTTGAAAGCGAGGAGGTTAGCAATAACATGGTTTTTCCGTGATACCATAGCAGAGGATGAGAGAAGAAACTGTGTTAGGTTATATAGGATCGATGATGCGAGGAGTGTCTGGGGAATACTAGACCGTACGGCTATTGTTACTCTCTGGTCTCTCCCTAAAAATTAGAAACTTTCCTCCTTCGACCACTGGGTAACCACTTGTGAAATTCATCTTGAAAATCGTTTCTTTTTCGTTTTTTCTTATTTTTCTAAAAACAATCTTCTATTAATTACAAGCTAAATAGACTTACATAGCTGTGTGAAATTTTCAAAGCGAAAAGAAATAAATCGATTTTCTTACTACAGGATCCAGCTTGATTGATAACAGCTTATATATCCAAGAACCTTTTCCAAGAGTGTTATCTTGTTCGGTTTAATATCGTCTCGATACCATAGATCTTCACCGGTAACGTCTTGTCGTTCTTTTCAGTTTCTTTTTCTTCTTCTACGTCCTACAAAATTAATTTTCAGTGTATCGTGTATCGCATGGTTCTCACCTCGAATCGATTTCCTGTCTGTTCATTGTCTGCTACGTGGATATTTTTTAAATTCAATAAAAAAGATGGAAGGAGATGACGAATGTCTGAGAATGGTACGGATATATTTAGTTATATCTCAATTTCTGATTTAGCTCCCTGGCGATATTTCCAATATAGACACACTCGTTTGTTCGTAAATATTCGAAAAGCTCTATCTGGAAATACCTAAGGGAACACGGGTCCTTTCAAATCGAAGCCAGTTAAAGTTCGGTCAGTATTCAGGTACGAATGATTTCAAGAAAATAGGACGACCATGTTTAGAAACTTCATCCTTATTGCAAACATTCGCTAAACCCGCAGTAAGGCACAGAGATTATTCGTTTCGAAGCAAACCTATAAAAGATAAAATTGTGAGATTATTAAAAGAAGGGAAATAACTTTTTTTTTTATCAAGAATTTTTCGCGTTATTGATCGTGAAAAAAATTAGTAAATCGATTAATAATTAGAAATTATACAATGCACATGCAATGTATATAAGTACACATATTCATCTGTATCATTCGTTATTTCAATATACGTCCTTAAATTCTCTCACCGGAGTAAACCTAAGTCACGTGGCTACATCACGTTGCCACCGCATCCGTATTCATCCTTCTTTCGATTATTGATTCTCATTTCACGTTCTAGTCTTTTTAACGCAAATAGCTAAAACGTAACCAGCAACGCGACCTCTGAATCGATTTTGATAATATTGTTACTTTTTTTTTGCCGCGAAAATATTAAATACATTTAATTTTTTTTAATTTCTTTCTCTTCTTTTTTAAATTCTTCGTACTATTAATTTTGTCACAGCAACACTGAGATACATAACGAAAAGATTATTCCTGTAGAAAATGTAATCAATTTATATATTATGATATATTAAGATAAATACAAAAAAATAAACTTACTAAAAATAATTAATTAACCTAAAAACATTTTACGATCTACATTGGGAACTTACTTTATTAAACAAATTAGGAAATATATAAATGAAAATCGTTTCGTTCTATGGACAATGAAAATAATATTTCGCATTAATGCGAAAACACGTTATACTTCTTATAAAATGCTTATTCTTATATAAGATTTTTTGATATACATTACATGAATTTTTAACGAATTCTCGTCACACGATTTCTCTTTGTTTGGCTAAATGCCTATTGTCTTTTTCAACGGAATTGCTGCTTGATTGTTACCAGTCCCAAGTGGGATTCGAACGATGCTCTCGGTGATTGCTAGCTCTCTTTCCCTTGGGTAGTTTTTACGAGACTACAACAGCATCGTTGCAGTCCTTTGAGATAAGAGAATATCATGATCTATTAACCTTTTCACGGACAATAAAAATCGTAATTTTTGCTCATATATCGAATAAAAAGATAAAATTAAGATAAGATAAATTAAAAAAAGTAGAATAGAATTATTCTTACCTTTGAATATTGAAAATCGAAAAAATTCGGAACTATTAATTTCGATCATTTTTAAAGGTTATGTTTAATATAAGCCATGAAAATTGTTAGAATACAAATCTTCAATTTTCACATAAGTCGGATATCAAAGATTCTCCAGTCTTTTTGTCAATCGTTGAAATTCATTACGACTTGTATGTATACCATAATACAGAAGTTTAATAAGCGGACGCGTTTACGACCGATATACGTACGAGACTTACATCGTTTGACATAAACGGGTTCACTTAACGACCGTGACACAAATATGTGCCGCCCTCTGTTTAATCCTATTATGATATATTCCTAATATATCAATTCTAATAATTCTAAACTCATATTGAACTGAATTGTTTCTAAAAAAAAAAAAATTATAAAAATAATTAACTATTTTTCTTTTTTTTTATTTTTATACTCTTTCGATTTACTATATATCACGATTTATATAACTCGAATCACAAGTTCTGTTTTGTAAAGGAAAATTAAACAAAAGCTCAACAAATTGTTCGTTAATTAGAACTTAACGGGATGAGAACGATGAAAAAAGAAAAAACGTTGTGTTCACGAGGCATACTTTATCACTCTTTGTTCGGAGTTATTCGAGCCTTTGTGCGGCCAGAGAAGCGACACTTGCTACCGGCTGTCTTCCAAGCAATTGTCTCGGTAAGAAGTAGTGCCCTGTCAAGATATAAGGGTGTAACTGCATGTTTTTTCCGTTTGTCGGAGGATTACTCGTAAAATTGCACCTACTTGAAAAAAGAAGTGCAAAGATCTTGAGAAACCACATTAGTGATAGTTAAACAATCAAATAATTTTTTCCATTGTCAAAAATTAATTATTAAATATAATTTTGTTCTTTTGATATTCGTTATTTCATGGCAAACTTTTTATGACTCGATGATGTGTTCCAATTAAAAAGTAAAAATTTTAATGTCACCCAATAGGATAAAATGAAATATGGTCTAAACAAGACGAACAACTTAATCGATATATCGATATATCGCTTTTGTTTCCTGAAACAACTTCAGTCAAATGCCATTGGCCGATTTAGTTCGTATATAATTTTAATTTTTGTGTGAAATAAAACGAAAACTTATTTTTGTATGTAATTAACAAAGGTTCGTTTAAAAAAAATACTGATCTGGAAAATTCGAATAGTGTTTCCATTTTCTGAAGCAAAATTAATTGGGATTCGACGCGTAGCAATCGAGTAACCAGAAATATTGAAATTCGGATGTGTTCGAATGTGATACGAGTGTATCTATCCGTTAATGAAATCTATGCATACATATAACATATAAATTTATACTCGGTCAAATTTTGAATATGATATATTGGAAAAAGTCGATCATGATAGAAAAAAAAAAATCAATATTTGTCAACATTTTCTTGATTGTATCATAACCATACATTCCCTCCAAATACTCATCGAACACTTGACAATATGTTTCAAGATGAATGTACATTTTTATTATAATATGATATTGATGCTAATTAACCGTTTGTATCGTAAGTAAATGTTTTAATTCTTAATATTTTGTTCTTATTTTTAATATAAATTTTCTTTTTTATTTAATAAGCTTAACGTCACTTAATCTTGTTTAATCAATATGATACGAATTTAAAAAAAAATTTCTCTAATTTAAAGAAAGGTATATAGTTTATCACATCACAATGTTACAAATATCTCCATTTTTCGATTGATTCTGGAAAGAAAAGGTACTTGAACATTGTATTATACGAAACCGTTTATTCAAGACTATCGTAGTTAAGTGAAACAATACAGGAAAAAAGGCAAGAGAAAAAGTGTCACCTATTAGTAGAGTGAAACAATAGGCGGACTAATTAATAGGAAAGTCCTTAGAACCGTTGATTGGCGGTCCAATATGAGGATGCATTCTTAACGTAGAAAAAGGAATCGTTGCAAAAAAAAAGGTATTAAGCAAATAGAAATTTCTATAATTGGGATTAACGGATTAAAAAAGTTTACATTTAAAATTACAGTATCCACCCATTTAATGTATATTTACATGTAACGCATAAATGGGATAATTTAAAAATGTAATTAATAATATACACGATGAAAAGATGACCAGGACGAGTGAATAAATACGACGAGTGATCGCGGAAAATATGAAACGCGCGAAAGTAGGATTAGCAAGTGATAGAGGAGGCAACCACCACGACGAGCTTGCAGAAAGTATAGGAGGACGTGGAAGCTGGTTCGAGGAGGGGTAGGATTTGGGGTAGCATTGCTAGTACGGTGGCACAGATATGGGCCAGGTAACCAGGTCACCGCGACTAAGGGCATTGCTTTTGCAACCGCCAACCACCACCGCCACCACCGTCACCGTCACCCCATTTGAGCTGTTCTAACCTTCCCCCCTCCTTCCTCTTTTCTCCTTTCCTTTTTCCTCGTCCTCTCTCTTCCTTCCTTCTTCCATCCGCTACTCGATACACGACGAAACGACAAACGACACAGAACATTAAGAACAACGCAGTTCCACCTCTCTGGATCTCCAATAGGCATCTACCACTTTGTTCCTCGGTGTTCTGTCACTCGTTGCACCTCTCTTTTCAATTCCCGTGCTCTTATTTCTTTTCATTCTTTCTCGTATCTTTTCTCCCGGTCTTCCTCCGGAGAGAAAGATACTTTCTTTAATTTCACCGAGTGATTCGAGAGATTCGGAAGAGTTCCAAACAGTTATATTATACAATGGTTTTTCAATAGAATTTATCGTAGCATTGTTTTCTTTGAAAATTATATATTTAAATTGTAAAAAAAAATTATTGCAGAGAGCTATCATTTTAATAATTTTCATCCATAAATAATTATATTATTTTTTTGATAGTTTGTTACACAATGATTATTATGAGTATTATTCTCAATGTATTACATTTTCATTTTAGTTAATTTTCTCCTCGTTAATGAATTCTATTAAATCGAGCAAAATTCTCGAACGTAAATGGCTTAACACTCGTACTTTTATAATCTTTTTCTCGTTAATATCCATCCGTTTTTCTTTGCGTGGAATTATATAAACTATAATGCAAAAGTTTTGAATATCGGAAGAAAGATGATTCTCTTGTTCTTATTTGCGATTTTAAAACTGTCCATTCCCCTCCGTTTAATCTCTAAATTCAACGTATCCTTCTTCTTGCTCTGGACTCTCTGTTGGAGGTAATTAATCTGGCGTACCCGCCAAGTATGGCACTCGTGGCCTGAGAAGCTCGTTCATGAGCCAAGTACGAGGTAAACGAGAAACACCAGAATCGAGGGTACGGTTTCCGGTTGCATGAGCGCCATTTGAAAATTTCCCACCGGGAAATTGGCACGTACCTACGCTAGGTCAACTTGAAGACTTCCTTTCCCGCTTGTGTCACGGTCGCCACGATCAAGATTTCATTCAAAAAAACGAGCAACCCCAACGTGTCTGAATTTCGAGAATCGGCCGATTTTAAATCGATTTTAAATTCCCCGCTCAAATTGTTGTTCGTCGAAATAACACTCTGACTTAAAAAAAAAAAAAAAAAAAAAAAAAAAAAAAAAGAAAGAAGAAAAGAAAGAAGAAGAAGAAGAAGAATCGTTCGCGCAAAGAGCATTACTAATTTCAAGCCTCCTCGTCTTTGATCTCGACGGCCTAACCGAGACAAAGGATTACTCCAACGTATTCCGAAAAGAGGGATAAATTAATGTCACGAATCCGGAGTGAACAATGACAGGCCGAATTACAGATCGCTCTGTATGCGAATCTGTGTGACGTCTGTGCGCGTGTGCACACGTTTCACAATTCACCGACCGAAACGGTCGGAAAAATAGTCGCGAGAACACGTGTACACACGTTTAACTGTGTTCCCGTGTTATATCATCTATATCGAGGGGAGGGAAAGTAGAACGAAAGAAGAAAAGGAATTTGGAGTCGATATACATTAGTCCCGGTGAAAAGAAATTAAATACGCGGTCCATCACCGGGATGAAATGTACCTCGTCATCGCGAGTTTGTTGCGAACAAAACGAATCATTTCTCGACTGTATCCGATTTCCGATTTCTTTTCTCCCCCATTTCCCTCCCCCTCTCCCAGGACAGAGCAACCCTCCTCTTTTCCAGCACGAATTCAATTTCTCCTTTTCATACGCGTATATTTTCCAATCGAGCATTCTATTCGCATTCTTATTTCGCGATTCGGGTTAAGAATCCTCTTCCCCTCGATTTAACACCATTTAACACGGATTAATTCGCTGCAAACGTTAGAATTGGAAGAGATGGACGGATACGAGCGCCAAACGTTACGGATGTTAGTTCGAAGCACGAGGGGGGGAGGGAGAATGGTAGGAGGAGGAAATGGGAAAATGACGTATTGTTTGAAAGTTTTGCTTCGTTATAGGGATCTCTGTGAGGTGGGGGGAGGGAGAGGTGCTCGAGTGATCGGTCGAACGACGTGAGACAAGGAGGTGGAAAGGGAGGGTCGTTGTGTGTGGCGACGAGACGTTGCAGGTGGAGGGACGAGGGGGGGAGGGAGTAGTAGAAGAGGAGGGTGCCGCATCTGCC